CCAGCAGGTCCCTGGATTTGGGCAGATCCAGGCATGTGAAAAGGAAGAAGCTCACAGCACTCCCAAGGTGCCAGGAAGGACAAGTCGGGTGGGGGAGGCTGGGTCTGGGAGGAGGGTCCGCAGGGGGGCTGGTCTCCCACTCCCTGGCAGGGTCAAGTCCCTGCAGAGCGAGTGACACAGTACAGGAAGTGTGTCCAAGGGGAAGGGGGGAACGAGACCCCCACCCAGAATCACCACCCCAGACAGCTCCCAGCATTCTCCCTTCCTCCCTCCCTCACCCTCTCCCTCTCCCCCTTTTTCTCTCCCCCACACAGGGTGCTCCTTTAACCCTATCAGCCCTTTTTTTGCTCTCCGCGATTCCAGAAGTGTCACAGTTTCCCACTCCCCTGGCCCTTCCTCATTTCCCTTTCATTTCCGCTCAGTGCCTGAGGGGGTGTCTTAGTGGTTGCATATGCAGCAAAGGCTCCCGGGCCCCTGCTACAGGGACCACACACGCTAGAGTAACGGTTGGTGAAAGTGTGCAGATCCCGTGGCCACTGACTCTGAGGACAGACCGTTGCCCCGTCACCGCGCCCAACGGACAATCTGGCGCCCTCTGCTGGTGACTGAGGCTGCTGGTGCCAGGTGCCTCTATGGTGCCAGGTGCCAGCTCTCCTGGGGGCTTCTGGGCTGAGGCCTGGGTCGCCTCCTGTCCTCCTGTTCCGGGAAGGCTCAGGCTGGCCCCCTTTTCCTGATGCAGGAGGGGGGCAGGATGGCACACTCTCTGGGAATGACCCCGGCAGCAAACAGGCCAGCTGGCTCTGCTGGGTCTGGGCTGCTCTCTGGTGCCAGCAGCTTCCAGAATGCTGGGCAGAGCGCATGCACGCAGCAGAGAGCACCCATGCCTGGGGGTCAGGGGTCGGGGGTGGGGAGGGGAGGGCGCTATTTCATTCCAGGAACAAGCCTGCTTAATCAAGCCTTCCTGTGGCCCAAAGCCAGGGCAGATCAATAGCCTCCCAGCTTTTCTGAGCACTGTGTACCTGACCGAACTCTCTCAATTTTCACTGAATTCTTGATGCCCCCCAAAAAGTGAACAGAGGCTCAGACTTCCTGCAGCGGGAAAGATGCTGTTTTTTTTTTTATCTTCACTCCTGGTTGAAGCCCAATTCTCCGGTTTGACTTTTATTAAGTTTTAAATGACCCCCACCCCCACCCCACCCCCAGGACTTCTATCTTTAGCTCCTGGGTTACAAAGAATTTGTATCTTCGGACCCTGAGTCAGCAGGTTCCCGCCTGGCGGTCACTCAGTCACTCGGGCTCAGCCGCCTGGGCCGAGGGGCGGTGAGAGGCTGAATGCGGAGGTCCCAGACCCGAATTCCCAACCTGGCACGAGTCTGGGGAAGTCTCCTTTTCACTTGGCATTTCAAGAGTTTTCACGATTTGACTTTCGCCAAATTTGCAGAAGCAAATTTTTTGGAAGGATCCAGAAACGCCGTGAATTTTTTTTGTTGCCTAGTAGGTTTCTGTGCGTGGGTCTGGATGAAGTTTACTGGTTCCCACCAGTGCTTTAATCAGGCAGGACTCGCTGCCGTAAAAACAGCGTGGGAGTCGGGGGCCTTGAAATGCTTTCTTGTGTGTTTTTTTTTTTTTTTGCGTTTTTGGCCGAGGAGTGGCGTGGATGAAGCCCTCCAGGCTGAGTGCAAGGTTGCAGGCGGCTTCACGCGTGCCCTGGGCGGCATCTGTCAGGAGACAGCGGGGCTGCGGGACGCCTCGAAGCCCTTTGGCTGGACCCTCAGGAGCAGCTGGGGTTCAGGAAAAAGGAGCGTGTTCGGGTGCACAGTAGTACTCTGTTTGTGTGACGCTTGGCTTTCTCAGCTGCAGAACAGAAAGTCTTCTCTGGCTTCTGCAAACTTTATTAAGCCCGAGGAATATTCCAATAATAAAATTAAAACTTGCGGGCTCACCAATTCAGGCAGATCCTTTGCCAAGAATACAAGCTCTTCCGCTTCTTCCTATTACGAACCCATAAGTTTATACCTTTTTCTACTCTCAGAGGCTCTTATAGCAAAGACCCTGTGTGTAGAGACTGTGGTTTGGATGATTAAACCTGAGACGATGAAGCATCTAGAAACTGTCGTGAACTGTATACTGCACTTCGTGCTTTCTGGAATCCATAAGGGGCTTATGAGATAGGGACATCTGTTTGGTAAGATGGTTATCTTGATTACCTGAGAGATCGGCTTAGCGGGAGATCTTAGTAACTCACTGTAGGCGCAGCTGATAGAGTCCCGGTCTGAAAGGACAAGGTCATGAGTCCCGGTTGTGGGCTCATGTCAATCATTTCATTTTGCTGCCTTTGTCTACCTGGCAACCCCACCAGAACACCTCAGGAACTGCATGGCCTCAGGAACGGGTCTCCCTGGCAGTCAGTATTCCTGAAGGACACCTGTGCCGGCCCTTCCTGGATTCTTTTTTTTTTAATTTTGCTTTTTGGGTCACACCCAGTGATGCTCAGGGGTTACTCCTGGCTCATGCACTCAGGAATCACTCCTGGCAGTGCTCTGGGGCACCACATGGGATGCTGGGAATCAAACCTGGGTCAGCCGTGCCCTATCCACTGAGCTATCACTCCAGCCCTGACCATGAGCTTTTCTTTTTTTTTTTTTGTTTGCTCTTTGGGTCACACCCGGTGATGCACAGGGTTTCTTCCTGGCTCTGCACTCAGGAGTTACTCCTGGCAGTGCTCGGGGGGCCATATGGGATGCTGGGAATCGAACCCTGGTTGGCCGCGTGCCAGGCAAATGCCCTACCCGCTGTGCTATCGCTCCAGCCCCCCCTTTCTGGAGTCTTGCTTTCTCTCCTTGCATTTCAGTCCTCTTCCCAGTGCTCCCTGGACTCCCTTCCAGTGCTCACTGAGGGGCTCAGCGCCCCTCCCCCACCAGAAGGAAGCCGAAGCAGTGACTGCATGTGTGCCGGAGAGCCACAGGAGGACTTGATGAGCGTGAATGACTGTGATGTCACTTTGATTCTTTTCAGAGATCTTTTTATGGAATGTGGGTGTCAACCCAGCTGTCCCCGTGTCTAGACTTTGCTCAGAACACGCCTCGGTCCCTGGGCTCCTCAGCTGATTTCATTCGCTTTGTCGCCAGACTGTTGAAGGGTGATATTGGAGTCGTGTTTTCACTTGTCAGTGAGCGAGCGGGGACCCTGGCAAGCCGGAAGGAAGTCATGCTGTTCCTCTGATCTCAGACCAGCTGGCAGACTCTCTTGTCACACGTCTTCTCTTCGGCAGCAGGCCCATCACCGGGCTCCCTCTGTCCCTTTCACACAGTGTAAGGCACCTTGTCTTGTGCGCAGGGAAGCCGTGGGCAGGGGATTAGTAAGATGACATTGTTTTCCTGTTGGCAGCTATCGATGGTTTATGAGATTTGTCTAACAAAGTAGAATTCCTCTAGAAATCAGGGCATTCTGAACCCTTGGGAGCTATCTCCATACAACCAGTCTGGACCAAAACAAAAACAATTCCCGGGGGAGAGGGAGAAAGGACGGCCCTGAACGGAAGGCGTGTGCTAAGTAGGTGATCAGCGAAGATACATCTTTAAGCTATGGCATTACTTTAGCAAAAAAAAAAAAAAAAACACAGGCGGCCAGCATGAGTCATGTAGGAACACCAACACTGTCTTTGCCCCTTCCCTGGGACAGTGCAGTGTCCATCTTCGTAGACTTAGCACTGTGCCAAGTAGGAAGGAACTTAGCACTGTGCCAAGTAGGAAGGAACTTAGCACTGTGCCAAGTAGGAGGAACTACCTTCATGGACATAAGGGGAAAACGTGAAGTCACTGTCATGAGAAAGAGTGATGGACACTGGACACAGCAGCGCAGGCCCAAGCCCTGTACCTGCCCGGCACGTGTGAGGCCCAGGGTGAAAACAGAAAAGACGGGGCGGGTGCTGGAGCACTGAAAGGAGGGCACTTGCGCACAGCACACCCAGGGCCCCGCCCCTCCCCATATCACCCTCCAAGCACCACAGGGTGCGACCCGAAAAAGAGAAAACCCAAATAAGGAGGGAAAAGAAATTGTAACTGCATCACTCTTAAGCAGTGGTAAACTGAGGTCATTTATTTGTCTCCACGTAAACTCCGAAAGCCAGGAAAATACAAAATACAAAAAGATGGGGTCTGTCCAGTGCCCTTTCAAACAAATTATGTCCAAGACCATCGTTTTTTTCATAAGTCACTGAGGAAGCTGGAGAGATTGCACAGGGCTGAGAGCACTTGCCTTGCATGCAGCCGGCCCAGCTTCAATCCTTGGCATCCCCAGGAGTAATTCCAGAGTACAGAGCCAGGAGTAACCCCTGAGCATCGCCAGGTGTGACACCAACCCTCCCCCCCGCACATCCCTCAAAAAAAAAAAACCAGTTATTAAAGAAATCACCAAGAAGGCAGAGGGAAGTGTTTGCTTGTTCGTGGGGGGTTGGAGGGCATACAGTGAAAGAATCTTGATTCTGAGCACTCAGTGCCTGACAATCACTGCCCTCACGGAGTCAGCTTCAGAAAGGGAACGTTCCATGCCCGTGGTCTGACTCAGGAATCAGCCCACTCTCGACTTCTCATGCAGTTCCACAAACCTCCACTTCTCGTGCAGTTCCACAAACCTCCACTTCTCGTGCAGTTCCACAAACCTCCGCTGTGTCCAGGAAGGCGAGGCTGTCCCTCGGAAGAAATGCTGGTGTGGGCGTGTGCAGTGTGACAGGGCTCAGCGCAACGGCTGAGCCACGCCTTCTCCCCGGGGTCCTCCGTGGCAGCTGGCCGGGGTGGGCGCGTTCTCGCAGCCGCAGGAAGCTGCTCATTCTGCGTTGCTCTCGTTCTGCTCTCAGGCACCGGCCTCTGGTTCTCGTGAAGGCGCCTGGCGAGGCGTCGCGAGGGCAAGGTGACTTAGAGGAGGAGGATAAATAAAGTGAACAAGTCACGGTGTCCCCGCGGCAGGGGCGGCCGGGACGCTCCCGCAGCCAGAGGGCGGGCTCAGATGGCGCAGTACTTGCCGGGGCTCTGGTGAATGAGGATCAGCTCGCCACCGTTCACCTGGATGTCTTCGCAGGAGGTGCTGTGAGTGGTCACGTTCAGGTAGACTTTGTCCTTGAAGGCCAGCGAGGCCACCGTGATGGAGTTGACCGAGGGGACGTGGCTCAGCGAGAGGAGGGGCTGCTGGCCGGGCCGGTAGTGGAGCGAGAGACTGAGCGCCTGTGAGAAGTAGCCCTTGAGGGAGATGAGGTAGTAGCCGTCGCAGTTGATGACGATGGAGTTGTCTCGCAGCTGCATGGTGCTGCTGTCCGGCTGGGTGATGATGAAGCCCTTCTCGTCCTCACACCCTAGGGCGAGACAGGCCGTTAGCTGGGGGTGACAGGAGGAACTGCAGCGCAGGGAGAGGCGGCAGGCGTTCAAGAGCGCCCTGTTGCTTATGGAACGGGCAAAGCTACCGGGAACGGCCGGGAGTTCCACGGGCGGGCGGGGGCTCCACGGAGTGCCCAGAGCAGCCAGGGGCACCACAGGACGCTTGGTAGATCTGGCAGCCACTGGCAGGGGATGGAGCTTTGGAAATCCCCCATCCTTCAGGACCAAGAGCCGCTGACCACCTGCCCGCTTTGGTGGTCACTAGAGCAGATGCAGTGGCAGGTGCGTCGCCCGCCCGAGGTCTGCGCACCCTCATTCCAAGCAAGTGTTTCTGCCTTCCTCTTCCTCTCCCCACCGTGCTCCCCAAGACCCGGGCGCAGCCTGCTCCCCTCTGCTCTGCCCCGCTGGGTCCTCCTGGACGGTTCCCTCCCATGAGGGAAAAAGAGGAAGATGGACTGAGGGCTTTGGTCATTCCTGGGCAAGCGGGGAAGGTCACCCAAATGACCACACCCATGGCCAGGGGACAGAACAGATCCTACCGTAAGGGACTTGGGCCCATAACATCAGGGGACATGCTTTAGATTGGAAAAGAGGACAGGCTATACTTCCCTTAAGATGCAGGATACCCTAACAAAGGAATATCCATACAGAAACTGCTGGTGTATTAATCAGGCATCAAATAATGGTTCCTTCGTGTGATCTAGCACCAGTCTCATGTGGTGGATCTGATCCAGCGACAAGGACATGGTAATTCCCTTTCTTCTCTGAAATACGCAGATTCCAGCTACTGAGAGGGCTTGTGTGTATATGAGGCGGGGGGTAGGGGGCTTACAATTCAGGAAGCAAGGCAGATACTTACGGGTGAACAGCACTCGTATACTCTGGTCCGAAGGGCTCTGAGGTGGTCCCTGAGGAGAAGCAGAAAGAAAATGTTTTTAGAAAAAGGACAAGGCGGACGCGGCACTGAGTCTCTCCCGGAAGCAGCAGTGCTGTCTGTCCAAGACCGGGCTCACAGATGACGGCCAGACGCTCACTGCAGCTGCAGTGAGACAGTGAGACGCTCTGCTCCATCCTGCAAGCTGCTGAGGTCTTCCCTCGATTCTGTCAAACTGTCTTTGGCTCCCGTCTGGACCCCAATTTCCCACGTGGGATAACAGCCCTCAGGAGACCCTCGGCCCACCACAGCCACAAAAGTCTGTGGTGGCTTGGTGACGTATCTCCTTAAACCAGTCAGAAGGCCCTGGGGGGACGTCAGGAAACTTCCGTTCCCTCTGTGGGACTCAGAAGATCCAATCTTCAGGCCATAGAGCATGTTTTTTAAATTTATAATTGAATTCTATTTTTATTTTTTGCTTTTTGGGTCACACCGGCGATGCACAGGGGTTACTCCTGGCTCATGCACTCAGGAATTACTCCTGGCAGTGCTCGGGGGACCCTATGGGATGCTGGGAATTGAACCCGGGTTGGCCGCGTGCAAGGCAAACGCCCTATCGCTAAACGTGCTATCACTCCACCCCTTTATAATTGATTCAGACGCTGTGATGTACCAGGTTTTTGAGTGACACCTTCAGTGACCCCACGCCCCTCCCGTCTGATTCCCTACCTCAGGAGTGTTGGGTCTATTGGTTTAGAAAATGCCAGAAACCTCCCAGAAATCAGTGTTATCTGTGTACGGTCTGTGTTCTCTCTTGAACAGACGTCTCCGTCTCTCCCTCCCCCCGTTTCTCTCTGTTTCTTTCAGTAAAAACTGCTTCACAAAAAGCAGAACAACTTTTTTTTTCCAAATACTGGATCTTCCCCTACATACCCCTCAGAGCTTGAGAAGTCTAATTTGAAGTTGAGTACATAGCACTCAAACAGAACTGAAAGAAAGGGGAAAGCTGGTAGGCAAAATGTAGTTATTTGGTGGTTAGAATATCCAAACATTCAGTATGGACCTACAAAATATACTCAGTGAAAAAAAGCAATAAGGAATATTACATAAGCACATTACACATGATTGAAACATGTTTACAAGGCAATGAGAATTTATCCGAAAGGCGACGTAAGAGATAGATGCCTGGCGAAAGGAATTGGAATCTTGAGGTCAGGAGTTGGATTGAGTCACTTTTCTTGATCCACTGTTTTGTACTTTTAAGCGGGAAATTGAGGGGCTGGACTGACAGCACAGCGAGGAGGGCGTCTGCCTTGTACATGGCCAACCCAGATTCAATCCCTGGGATCCCATAGGGTCCCCTGAGCACCGCCAGAAGTAATTCCTGAGTCAGCCCTGAGCATCAGCAGGTGTGACCCAAAAAAAAAAAAGCCAAAACAAAAACAAAAAAAAGGAAAAGAAAATTAAAGTTAACAGGGCCTGTCACCACATCACCCTCCTCCCCTACTCATTAGGACACTTTTGAAACTCTGGGAAATTGAATTGTAGCATCCTGAACCAAATGATTCAATCCTAGGGACCATCGAGATGAGTCTGAAGTGACACAACCCAGAAGACTATCTAGCTTACTTGAGGACATTAGTTCAGCTGTTAACACGCAGGGCGTTTGCCTTGCACACGGTCAACCAGGGTTCGATACTCAGGACCCCATATGGTCCCCCCAACCCTGCCAGGACTGATTCCCAAGGGCAGAACCAGGAGTAGCACCGCCAGGTATAGTCTAAAAACAAAACACCAAATAGTTGATGAGGGAAGAGAGTGCCAACTGGAGTCAGTGCCATGCTCAGGGAGGCGCCCCCTCGCCTTCCACTCCAGGGAGACGGGGCCGGGGGGTGTCTCTCCCCAGGGTCGGAAACTCCTACACCCCTGCTCAGGTCACGCGTTACAGTGAGATGGTAAAAACCCATGTCAAAACGTCACTGAGCTGTGTCTGTAGGGACCCTTTGGCTAGTAGGGCAGAGAGGGTGCCTGCCTTTTACACGGCCAACCCCACGCAGCCCAGGCACCCCGGGCTGTGAGTCTGGGGAATCAGATCACGTGACTCCACTAAAAAGTGATCCCCCATCACTTTTTAGCAGCGGGGTCTTCCTACCCACAGACACGGTGGCCAAGTTCAACTTGCTTAACTGCAACACGGTGATGGGGACTTGTTAGGGCTGAGATGGTCACTGTCTCTTAGAGCATCTTATCGCCTGTGATATTCTCCGGCTGTGGTCGGCACAGTAACAGACTTGCAGGAAGCAAAAGCACAAACCAGTATGAATTTCTGTTCTCTTCTGCTGGTCAGGGGGAAACTGGAGGGGGGGAGAAGGAGGCGCCAGACCCAGGGATTCTCAGTGTGATTCTGGGTCTCCCATCATGCACTAACTCACAATACTTTACAGTCAACCTCTGTGCCCTAACCTGGCCATGCACTCTTGATTAGAATTCATACTCAGGAATGCTACAGTTAATCCCAACAATAGTAAAGTCAAGGGCTGAAGCGACAGCACAGCGGGGAGGGCGTTTGCCTTGCACGCGGCCGACCCGGGTTCGATTCCCAGCATCCCAGAGGGTCCCCTGAGCACCGCCAAGTGTGACCCAAAAGGGAAAAAAAAAAGGTGTATCTTTTGTAACTTTAGTCTTCTTTCTGGTTTTTGAGCTATGGGCTATTTTGATTAAAATGATGCCCGGTTCTCTTCAGGGAGTTTACCCAGGCTACGCATGGACAGGCGCCCCGGCTGCTCCCTGGAACAGCTGGGGGGAGGGGCCGCTCTGAACAGTGAAGAGCCCCAAGTCACGGCCAGAGAAAGCTGAACTGCCAAGTCCTGGGGCCATCCCTGCCCTCCTCACTTCTGCTCCCCATCGTGTGTCTGATGCATGTCTATGCAAGTCTAGGCAGACGTGGCATGCCTGGGTCATGCCCGCAACTACATGCTCACAGAGAAGTCTGATGACTGTGCAGGACTCAGCCGTCACCAGTGTCTCCTGAGAACGTCTCCTGAGAACACCCTGAGAGGCCCTGCCCGCTGCTGGAAGACGCGCCCAAGGTTGGATGGTGGCGCCCTCTAGTGCTGGATCCTTAGTGCAGATCAGCGCCCACGTACTTGCCCCGAGTTTGCTGCAGTTAAGACAGACCCTTCGTGAATGGGCCCTGCCTCGACTTCCCCTCCACTTTCACCATACTTCAGTTCAACAAGTCAGAATGACCACCCGCCTGTCTTGCTGCAGGATTCCTCCTAACAGCTGAATTATGCCTCCTAACAGCTGAATTATGCCTCCTAACAGACATAATTATGCCATTATGTCTGTGGGGGTCTCCGATCTTGAGTATCTTTTGGAGCTTCGAGATAGACAAAACAGTCAGTGTCTCAAGGGCCTGCCTGGGCCAGAGAGAGCCCAGCGGGCTCAGGCCCGACTTCAGTTCCCAGTACTCAGTACTGCATGGGCCCCTGAACACCACTGGAGATTGAAAACATTTTCAGATGCTACATCAAGCGGCTTCTGAAATGCCAGCTGCACTTAAAAACAACAGAAAATGAAAGTTATTTTCTTAAACATGTTCTGTTACATCCATTTATATTGAGCTGAAACAAAACATGCATGTGACAGAAATTCCCAGTAACAGAAACTTAACCAAGGAACCGTAGTGCTGATTCTGACCTTCCTCATTAGCCCAAACTGTCAAAACTGCCCTTCCCGGCGGCCTTCCTTCCTTCCTCCTTTTCCTAGTGGTAAAAACTGCCAGAATGGGGGCTGGAGCAATAGCACAGCGGGTAGGGCGTTGGCCTTGCACGCGGCCGAGCCAGGTTCGATTCCCAGCATCCCATAGGGTCCCCCAAACACCGCCAGGAGTGATTCCTGAGTGCAGAGCCAGGAGTCAGCCCTGAGCATCACCGGGTATGACCCAAAAAGAAAAAAAAAACCTGCCATAATGTAAACATATGCGGTTACTGAGATAACAGATGAGTCAAGGGGCAGTGGCATGAGAGTGACCCCACCCCGCCCCAGCCCAGAGCTCCTGGGAGCCCCACACACATGCCAGTGGCAGAATGTGCTAGTTAGCAACTGAGGGGCTCACGGCCCCAGCAAACATGACTCACACACACTCTCACCTGAGTCAGAGAAGCTGGAGGTCTGACCCTGGGCACACAGGCCCGATGCAAGCACGGGCTCTGGCACCTGGCTCCAGCTGTCAGCCTTCTAGCCAAATCCCCTCCCCGCCCCCCGTAAAGTCAGACACAGTTACACTGACCACATTCTCGTACCAATCCTATGAATTATACATGCTACCTATTTGCAGTGTATTAGCTTGGACCAAAAAAGCTCGTGTTACCAAAAAAATCAAATAGGGAAGTGAATTATGTGAAGAGGCCTATTTTTTTTTTCCGAATCTCTAAAACAAAAGCTTCCGCTTTTCACAAATACCAAAAAAAGAAAGAAAGGGAAAAAAAAAAAAAAGCCGGTGGTGAGAAAGCAGAGTTTACTAAATAAACTGATTTGAAAGGAAAGTTGACTTCTGCAAAAGGGCTTTCATGGTTTTATCTGCATTGCTGCAGGGCTGCCCATGGGAGCCGTCGCAGGGAGTCTGGTACGGAAAGCCAAGCTGTTATCTTCCAAGGAACAGACAGGGGTGCGCTGGGCACACGCAGAGAAACGCGGGCTTACTTCAGGTTCTGTATCTGGGGCGAGAGAAAAACCAAGAGACCACAGAACAGCTGGACGCCCTGGCCACGAGTGATCAGAAAGCATATTCCCACCGCCGCCGAGTACCAAAACCCCCGATTTCCTGGGGGAGGCAGTGACAAGCCCGGACACCTCCTACGGGTCTGCCCGGGGTCCGGGCTTGTCTCTGCCCAGCTTGTCCTGCCCTAACTAGACAGCGGAGCAGCGAGAGGGTGACGCCACCTTTTCTCTTACGACTCTCAGGAACATCCTTAAGGGCCTCGGGATGCTACATTGGAGCCGGGCCAGGGAGATGGCAGGCATCTCGGGGTGGGGGGGTTGGGACGAGGGAGATCACGGCTCACCCCAGCACGTGAGCAGGCTCCCCTGACAGCCCGGCAGCGCCCACGTCATAGTGAGGGGCAGGAGGGTTGCTCTCTGCAGACCTTCCTCTGCCTCTCCCCCGGAGAGAAGGCACTGACACTGCATTCTTGGCAAGAAGAGAGGGAACAGCCCGGGAACGGTGGCCCTGCGAGGGCAGCCCAGGGGGTGCTGGAGTAGCCGGCCCCTTACCTGGGAGGCAGAGAGCTGCAGGCAGACGTAGACGAGACACAGGAGCAGCCCCAGCCACTGAGCCAGGGACGCCGCCAGCAGCAGCCTGGTCCTCAGGACGCCCCGCCTGGTTGCACCGTCCACATTCCCCTCCTGCGGCGGGAGCCCGTCCATCCTTCACGCGCTGGGTGCAGGCAGGCTAACGGCTGCACCCCGGGGGGAACCCAGGTGGGGACTGGCCTCTTCCCCTTGGACCAGGAGGCGAAGGCAGAGGACGCCTCTGAGCCCGGGAAGGGTGACAGCGGCAATTGAAAGGGCAGAGTGGACTCTCTACTTTAATGCGGCAGCCTTGCAGGCAGGCGGGGGACTTCTCTGTGACTAATCTGAATTTCCCCTTTACTGTCTTTTTTTTCCTCTGGGCAAACAGGGAGTTGTTTTTGTGGCATTCCAGTTCTGATTTGAGTGACTGTGACCTGCCAGTCATAAATGTATATACTGGTTTTCTAAATTTCTCACTGCACCAGTAACCAAAACGCTGGGTCACTTGGGAACCGTGGATGAATGACCTCCTCTATCCCTCCGCTGACATGACTTCATCACGAAGGGACTTCAGGACAGTGCAGACCGCTGTCCCAGGCGCTGCGTGGGGAGCACAGAGCAGTCTTGAGAGAGAGAAAGGAGAATCGCGGGGAGACGGTTGCCTCGGGGGGCGGGGGTGAGCCCTCCTCAGGTACCCTGCAGTTACCACAGAGAACAGCCCCCTTCAATCTTCCTCACACCGAGTTCTTTTCACCCCTTTATTTATTTGCGGGGGAGGGAGGGGTTCCTGGTGCCATCATCAAAGGTCACACGCATGGTGAAGGTGTCAGTGGTCAGATGGCTTCGGGGTGGCCTGGGGCTCGAGTCTCATCCCTGTCTCGCGGTCTGACGAGACCCCACACACTGTAGTACAAACCAACAGATTTGTGCCAGCCTGGAAGGGCAGGCTACGAGGTTGAATCTTTTTCACTAATAGAAACTCCTGAATTCCTGAAAGAAGGGATGACATTAGACATCACTTTGCTTGAGGCCAGACCGCTGCCTGCAGGGAGGGCGGTGAAGACCAGAGAGAATTCGATCTCAGCGTTGCTATGTGCAGTAAAAATATTTTTAATAACGCGAGTTGCTATGTGCAGTAAAAAAAAAAATTTGAAAACATGACACAAGCGTGTAAGCAAATGATGGGAGTCTCTGGTTGAGCCTCTCGTCACCCAGACTTCACTACCGTCAACACTAATATTTAGAAATCTATTTGAGCTCAGACGGGGACACAGTTGCCCAGCACAGAGCAGCCAACATGCACCTGTGCTCTCTCTCTCTCTCTCTCATTCTCTGCACCCGCCCCCAACTCCAGCCAGTGGCTGTTCATTCCCAGACATGTCGAGGACATGTTCTGTCCCCCTTGGGGCTGTCCCGGGGACAGTGGCCAGAGAAGGCAGCTCAGGGCAGTGAACGATCTCAAACCCCACGATCCTCTTTCCCTTCGTCGCCGTAGCCCAGGCCTTAGAATGCGACTCCGCAAACCGTCCTGACGCTCCCCCTGAGTGGCCCTCCCTTGGACCCCTATGTGGTGACCGCCAGCTGGCTCTCCTGCCGCCTCGCCTCGAAGCTTCACTCTCGGCTCTGATGGCCCCTTGCACCCCGTGACGATCACCACACGTCCCGGGGCCCCAAGGCGCCCATCTCTCCAGACACTTGGGAAGCCACTCAGTAGACCGGCAGGTTCCTTCCAAGCCTTGTCGCCCTTTATTTCCTGACCCTAAGGGTGCTCCCTCAGCTACCCCGACCCCCAGTCTAACCATTGAAACACGAAAAGTTGCTTGCACAGTGAGTGAGCTTGCATGTTGCAGAAGAGAGTTCAAACCCTGAAGGGAGGCTGCTCGGGGGAACTGTGGCATCCAGGCTTCCATGGGTGCCCTCCGTGATGCTCCCCTACTGCCTGCTAAAGGTCCTTGCACAGGGGCTGGAGCGATAGCACAGCGGAGAGGGCGTTTGCCTTGCACGCGGCTGGCCCGGGTTCGATCCCTGGCATCCCATAGGGTCCCCTGAGCACCGCTAGGAGCAATTCCTGAGTGCATGAGCCAGGAGGAACCCCTGAGCATCACCGGCTGTGACCCAAACAGAAAAAAAAAGGTTCTTACACAGTTTCCTTTCCAAGAGCAGAAGTCTTTCCCGGGCTCCCCAGAGACATTGCAGGCGCCCCAAGGAAACCGGGATTCAGAAAGAATTTCCAGAATCTCTGACAGCAGGGCTGAAAAGTGCTATTTTTTAGGCCCAGACAGAATGAGAGTCGAACAGAGCTGGCAATGACACTGCTCCCGACAGCTGGACTTTGATCTCAGATGTCAGCGATTAGCGGCCCTCAACTGTTAAGAGTTCACTGAAACCGGATGTGCACCAGCACTTCAAAAGCAAACTGCAGTTCTCTGATATTCCACTGGGCTTTCAGCCCTTCACTGTCACCCTCTCTTGTTCTGACGCCCTTTTTCCCTTTCACGCTTCGTGTTTCCTACCTTATCTTGAACGGACCACCGGTTCATATCAGGCACCATGTACAAAAACGTCCACAGCCACGCCAGGGTTGCCCTCTCGCCCGGCCGCACCCCTCCTGCAGGGAAGCTGCCTCCAGATCTGCTCCCCTCCTGCTCTGAGAACCTTCTCTGCCTTGTGCCGACCGACACCTTGTCTTCCCAAGAGAGGCTTCAAGGGGACAGGAAGACACAGAAAGTAGCTGGAAGGAAGAAAATGGGTGACTCATCCCAGAATGCAGTGCTGCCACCCCGTTGCAGGTGTTCAGACCCCTGTGATTGACTATGAGATAAGGAGAAAAGGAACAAGAAACTAACTGCCCTTGATCAGATTCCAGATAACCCTTGCCCTGGGTCGCCTGTCGGGCTTGTTGTTGTTGGACATTTAAAGGTAAAGGTAAAGGCCCTCCCGTTGATCGTCGATTTGCTCGAGCGAGCCCAGTAACGTCTCCATTGGAGACTTTGTTGTTACTGTGTCTGGCATATCGAATACTCTCGGTAGCTTGCCGGGCTCTCCGAGACATTTATCTACCCATAAACGTGCAGGCTTCTTTGTGGTGTGTCTTTTTTTTTTTGGTGGGGTGGGGGGTAGTCACACCCAGCGATGCTCAGGGTTTCCTCCTGGCTCTGCACTCAGGAACTACTCATGGCGGTGCTTGGGGGACCCTATGGGATGCCAGGGATTGAACCCGGGTCGGCCGCGTGCAAGGCAAACGCCCTCCCCACTGTGCTATTGCTCCAGCCCCGGTGTGTCCTTTCTTGTAATGTTCACTTGTACAAACCCTGCACCTCTGTTCTGATGGGTGAGGGATCCCTCCAGACTCCCTGCCTTCCAGATCCAGAATAACGCCTGACTAGGCAAAAGACACACATCTGAACTGACCAAAGAGGAAACAGCCCCACTCTTAAGGAGACCGGCCAGAGAGCCGGTACAGGGATCAAGGGGCCGCTGTGCGTGTGACCAGCCAACACCAGGTGGAGCCTTTTTCCCACAGACTCATGCCCCATGCCCCAGCAGGGATGACCTCTCAGGAGGGGCAGGGTCGGGGCGATAGCACAGCGGGGAGGACGTTTGCCTTGCACACGGCCGACCTGGGTTCGATTCCCAGCATCCCATAGGATCCCCTGAGCACCGCCAGGAGAGATTCCTGAGTGCAGAGCCAGGAGGAACCCCTGAGCATCGCAGGGTGTGACCCAAAAAGCAAAAAAAAAAAATGAGGGGCAGAGTCAAGCCCATTTGGGTGAGTGATGCCCCAAGGATTCTTGTGGGCCTCAGAAGTGTCACTCTGGGGGGACAGGGGACCCATCTCAGCATTTCTCAGCAAACCAGGGCAGTGTCTGCTGGTCCCTTCAAGAGACCTTCCCTTTCATTTGAGAGCAGACTATTCTCTGTGGTCACAGTTCACCACACACCCCCAGTGGAGAAGGGCTAAGGGCGGGCACCCAGGCCGGTGTGCAGTTCCTTCTTCCACCTGGTGAAACGCTCCCTTCGCCTCATGCCCTGGTCGCATGGACTCTTCAGTCAATTATCTAACCTGAGGAGAATTTTGAAAGGTGCTGGAGAAAGTCAGCGGATGACTAGCTGGGGTCACACTCAGCTGTCCTCAGGGAGCTGCCAGACCCCACTCCAAGCGACACCCTCAGCTCCTGCAGAAGACTTCAACCTGCTTTTCATATTTTCGTCTTCCCTTAGACACTAAAAGGCCATTAGAGGGGGTGTTTTTGTTTTTGTTTTTGTTTTGTTTTGTTTTGTTTTTTCATAAACTTACATGCTACCGCCGGCCATTATATTTTGATTTTTTCTTGTTACAGTCATTGTTTTTATTTAACCGCATATATAAAGAGCACTTCTGCGCTCACCATTTCTTTTGAGCAATTCAGACTTTCCACTGAAAGGACCGGCTTGTGGTTGTAAATTCTCAGGGGAGACTTTTTCCCCCTTCCACTTAAAAACTAAGGCTAAACCAGACAAGCTTCCTTCTTCATCTTTTTTACAGCGCAGTTTCAACGATCAGGCCCCAGATTTTGGGGGGGAGGGGGGCCCCCTTATTAAATCTCTGGTTTGGGCCAACCGAAAGGCTTTATTCGAAGTCCTGTTCATCCAAAATTTCAATGTAACTGCAGTGTGTGGGGTAGCCTCTAATGCATTCTATGGCTCTCTTGTCTTTTTTTTTTTTTTTTTTTGGTTTTTGGGTCACACCCGGCGATGCTCAGGGGTTACTCCTGGCTCATGCACTCAGGAATTGCTCCTGGCGGTGCTCGGGGGGACCATATGGGGTGCTGGGAATCGAACCTGTGTCAGTCATGTTGGCTGCGTGCAAGGCAAACGCCCTACCCGCTATGCTATCGGTCCAGCCCCTCTCTTGTCTTTAAAGGACTCTGGATTCCCAACAGAAGGACAGATTTGCTGCGAACGCTGATGGTGAGCATTTTTTCATTTTCCTAAATAAACACAAAAACAGCTGATGGTCCCCGAGCAGTTCTCTAAGCGAGTGCCGTTAGTACACGCACCACAAATCTGAGCCTTCTCATCCCACGTCACTGAAGATCGAGACCCAAGAACCCAGCTCCTGGGCCCGTTGATGACCCGATGCCAGAAGGTCCAGT